TTGTTTTCTCTATCTCTGTTTTTCCCTAATCCATTTGCCCCTAATTTCTTTGAGATGGTTATGTTTCTCTCTTTGTATACCCATGGAGCATTATAAACAGTGATTCAATAACTAGTAAATAAATCATAACAATGAGATTTTTTATAAAACAGGAAAATGGAAATTTCATAAAATAGGAAAATGGAAAATGAATTTTCCCAAAAAAAACTTCAAAGGTTATTAATAGAAACGTTTTTTTACAACGATTTATTGTAAATATCAAAAAATCGCGTTTTAAACTTTTCTATGAAAAAAATGTGATTTTTTACGCTCTTTTGAAAAATTCACAAATTAAAACGGTTTTCAAAAAAACTGCAATTTTTTGAAAAATCAAATAATCTTGTTTTAATTGGCGATTTGCTAACTACACGAATCCCGGTCCACCATTATGCGCTATCAAGGGCCATACCCTCAGTGAGGTAATAAGTCCCCAAATTCTTTCTCACTACTTCTAACCATGTCCTTTTGGGACTACCCCTTGCTCTTTTTGAGCCTTCCACTTAAACTAACTCGCACCTCCGAACAGCTCCTATACTAGGTCTGCACTGCACATGGCCAGCCCACCTAAGTTTACTTTCTCTCATCGCATATTGAAGACACCTAAGTTCTATCGAATGTATTCCTTTCGAACTCTATCTTGTCTTATCTCTCATTCATCTCAACATCCTCATCTCAGCTGCGCTCATCTATGGGTATGTTGTTTTTTTACCGTCCAACATTCCGCCCTATAAAGCAAAGTTGGTCTCACAGTTGTCCTAAAGAACTTGCCCTTCAGCATCATTAATATGCGACGATCACATAAACTCCAGTTGCACATCACCACTTCGCTTACCCAGCTCTAATTCTATGCGTAACATCATCCTCAATCTCTCCATTTTCCTGGATTATCAACCGAAAATATCGAAAGTATGTTCTTTTTGGTATTTCTTGTCCGTCAATCTCAACTACTTCCTCATCTACTCCTATTATTACTAAACTTGCATTCCATATACTATGCCTTAGTCCGACTAATTTTGAAACATTTAGATTCTACAACATCACTCCCGATTTTCATGTTGATGCCGCAATGGGTCTCATCGGGATCTGTTTGACCCCAACATTGTGGATGGTCTTAAAAACACCAACTGAGCAATTTCCCAAGAAAAAAAATGATTTTGAGCACATCTGACAATATATCTAATGGTGCACCAAAGTAGATGGCTACATTTCCTTCTTTTTTTCTTAATCACCCTGTTATCGAAATCCTAGAAAAGCCCTCCTCTTTGTCTTTCTTCTTCACTCATGGACCTCTTCCTCCCTCTCTCTCTCTCTCTAGCAACCTTCCCTGAATATTTATCTCTCTCTTATCTTGTGAACCTCACAAATAAGTTGAAAGAAGAATCATAAAGTCGATTTTTATGATGACATTATTAGAAAAAAGAAATTATACAATTTGGACAATGAAAAAGGTAAGGTGAGGGTTAAACATCCTTTTTTATTTAGCTTCAGGAGTTTCATGGGCTTTTTATGGGACCGGGAGGTTATTGGGGATACTAAGTTTAGAGAGAGGCGTATATGAGTGATCGATCAAGAAAGCAGTCGGAGATTGATTTAGAGGATAGAGAATTAAGTTGGAAGGTGTTTACGTATATCATTCCTCCCTCACTAATTGACTCCTCCGGGAAATGTTGAATAGTAGGGACAGCTCCAGGGGCTGGTGAGCAACGTAATGGGTCTCTATCTGGAAATGAGTACAGTTATGGTGTATTAGAGTTATCCCTTTGCTTCTCCATCGATTTCTATATTATACTTTATTATAGTGCACCACGAACCTGGATTGTTCTATTGTTCTCTTTCTTTCATTTCTCGAATACATATATATATATATGAAGAGACTACGCAACGCCTATAGGCAAAATGCTACAATGATTTCGCCTATAGGCGCATCACCATCCGAAAAAATCAGACGACATGGATAAAACGACGGCCACGGACATGTTAGGTCCGTAACAGTCAAAAATTCACACGGAAGCGTCACGGACATTGCAACGTCTGTTGTGGGACAGTTCAATAGACTGCCACGGAAATAGCAAGTCCGTAGCGAGGTGAAACACTATTCATTTTCCCTTATAGGTGTTTTTAAGACTTTTCTATATATATATATATATATATATATGGAGAGAGAGAGTAATAAGCGTTTTAGTCAGTTTTCTCCTTTAAAAGCATTTCAATAATGCAACCTCATGTGTTCATACTCTTGGGCATTATTATTTTAATTAGTGAGATATATTGACTTCCCATCATTCAATGTAAGACCATGGTCCCTTGTTAATGTAGCACGAGTAGGTTCTAGAAGTGAAATGATGTTAGAATACATCATTGGGGAACAGATCCCACAGCTAGCTTGAGCCACTAGAGACAGATTAGAAGATAAAAGAGTGCATCCATGAAAACAAAAGCTGTTCCTCCTAGATGATGTCGATCAAAAGGAATCTTAAGCAAAATATTACATGGCACTTCTGGCCTTGCTTTAGGATTTAATATACATCAGAACGAACAAAAATCAAAATAATAATAATAAAAAAAAAAAGAAGAAAAGTTCTCAGAGCTAATCTGTTGGCAAGTTTATCAATGTTATCAATGCAAAACCTTATGAGGATGAACAGTGGAAAGATCTTCTGAAGGGTAAAATTTGGAGGACCGAAAAACCTCCCCAAGTGACACCCTTCCTTATGGTATCCAACAGGGACAAGATTCAAACTATTAATCCCTTTACACCAAGCTCATATCCCAACATGAGATAGAGAAGTCTATAAACCATCTCCCAATGCAATACTAAGACACAAGAAGAGCTTTTGCCCTATGGTAGTATTTTAAGTTGTTCGACCATTGTTCCAGTTTACATGATTCGACTGCGGTTTACATGATTCGACTGTCATATGGTATACAAATGGTCACTGATGAGATGGATATCAAGGGTTTCAGAGATAGGCTTTCCATTGTACCATGGATTTGGAGTATGAAGGACAGAGACAACCATATGTTTCAAGAAATTGGTCTAAACAAGAAGATACTTGCTTATACTAATAAATAGGACATCATTATAAATGAAGCGATTCAGTTGTCAAAGGTTTAAAAGGAGATTTGAGTATATCGTTAAAGTCAGACATAGTTGAAGGCTTTCAACTCAAGATAATACCTCGCATGGATCGGAACTGCCCACTCTCCGGAGTTCCCTAAGTACTACTGAGATGAGAGCAGTAAAGTTTATAGCATGTTTGTTTTGAATGAGTCATTCTTGATAAAAGAGAATAGATTCTTTCAAATCAGCAGGCCAGAGTTTTATATTTTACTAGTCGATAGGCATACTTTATGCACAGGAGGTTCTCAATGCCTTAACCAATTGAGGAAAACAAAAGAAAACTATTTGGTATCATAAGGTTCAACAATCAACATACAGTCTTCATTCGTAAAGAGGATGTTTAATATAACAGTCCATGACAGCTCCCAGTATTGGAAGTCCCTGATTAACTTTCTCTAGATAAGGACATCATTCAAGTATCAAAGGAAACAAACATGAAAGTTTAACAAGATCTGGTGCAGCAAGAGCTGGGCCAAGGATATGTAATTATGTCTTTCTAGTGTTCTGCCATTTCAGTATGCTCTGTTTGGTTCTATTTTGTTGAAAAATTGGCACAAGATCAAAACCATATGAAGCCAATCAAAATAAATACAACTAAAAACAACATGAAAGACAGATGCTAATCAAAAAAGCATTCACTTTTTTTTTTTCTTTTTTCTTTGTTTGATATGGGTACATATCGAAAAGGCACTCACTTATAATCAGACTGTTAGGAATAGGAACATCCAACTAGAAACATTGTCAGCTAGAACCTAATACTTCGTATATAGTGCCAATATTTCTTCTATAGTCCCAAGTGATTCTATTCAAGACTTTCCTGGGTAAAATACTTTTGGTAACAAACGCCAACAAGTAGGAGACATATAGCATGTGCTATGGGAAGAGCTTAAAGGATGCATTGACGCTGCTATCCAAATGAAGTAACAAATGATAACAAAAAACACGTGGTTTCATTTTTAATGAGACTGCTCAGTGTTTGGATCATAGTCGTCTGGTGCAGGTGCGTTCCCAGGGGCTCGGGTCCGCGGAACCGTGGATTGTTGGAAGCTCCTTGTGGTTGGGATCATCGTCCGTACGATCCTATATCAAGGGAGCGCAATCCTTGCCATAGGGAAGCGCAATTCCATGGGGAAGGAATCGCAATAGTATGTTCTAAGGGATCAAGAATGATGTGTGGGTTCACAATACCATTGGGCACAAAACTGAATCATTGCATATGAATCAATCCCAAATAGAGAAAAAATCATATGCATTGTGTCATACACTTGAGAACCGTGGTTCGAACCTGCTGGGAACACAGATCACAATATAGGGATCCACGTTCCATCCAAGACTCCTAGCTGGAACCGCAGAATCGAGGTTCCGGAGCAGGTCCGTGACATTTCCTACAAGGTTCCAGCATCTATGTTTTGGATAAATATGAAATTTATGATATCCAATTTGTTCAAGTGTCAATCTTTTTCCCAAGATTCTGTAATTCAGTACTCCCAAACAGCTACAAATTGATCTCAGCAACTAACTTACGAGTTCATATGGTCACATCCTGGTAAACTTGGAAATAGGACAAATAAAGGGCAATAAAAAAAGAAAAGAAAGAAAATTTATTAACCATAGCCTCAAACATATAATGGTTTGTTCACATATGCACCTTTAATAGCTTAAGACTAATAAAATTAAGATCCACTTAATTGCATATCTCACTTTCTTAACCACAGTCGTAAAAGTCTGAAACTTTATCTGAGAATCAACTATGCACCATTTGTGCAGAGAACAAGGGATAGCAGGCTCATGCATTAAGTAATGGACAAGATACAAATAAGGGATGAAGAGAATTGACCACCTGTACTCTGGTCCAGAGTAGAGGAACCACAGCCTTCGCATGACTTTCCACAAAAACATTTGACCAAGGAGGGCTTGTGGAAAAATCTAACAAAGGAGTTTCAGTTTGTGTAGTGACATTGCAATTGCTAACTCTCAGACTTAGTAGTAAAGCATCAAATATAGTGCCGGCTGCTCCAGCATTTCCAGGACAGCCAATGCTCTCGCCACCTGATAGAGTGAATAACAAATACCAACACATCGACTTAGGGAAGATAAAGTAGTGACAATGAAATTATTCTCGATAATTACATCTACTCAGTTGCCTAACTGACATGAGTAAATCTCTCAAAATTAAATCGCAGGAGCCATAACGTTCTAAATGACATTTTCATAATATTTATTGAATATCTCTCCTCAAAATTACACTTCAACTGATGTCGAAGACTAATATAAATCTCACAAAAAAAACATGTCTATCCAGCATGATCTGTAGACTAAAATGATGAATTATATCTTGTCATGCACAATATTTCCTTCTTAGGAAATGTGATACAACACTATTACATGCATACTAATGCACACCATTTCTCTAAGGGATAACTTTTTGACCCAGGTCCATTTGGGCAACCCAAAGCTTAATCAAAGACTTTTTTAAGGCCCATGACCCTTATGGATTATTTTCAGTTTGGGAATCTAGGGCCCCAAAATCATGTTGTACACTATCGTGATGAATTTATTTACAAATTATTGGATAAATTATGCTTAGGTTCAATTAGTTTAGGTTAGTACAAGCCCTTTTTATTCATTTAGTAAGCTTGTTATCTCCGAATTAGTAGTTTGATTTTTCTTTTTTCCTTTTAATGAATCAAACTTATTAGTTGGAATTAAGACTCTGATTTTGCTAGAAGAGCTCTAGAGGATTGGCAGCTTCCATGTGTTGTAAAGGGACTAATTTCCTAATTTATAAAGGATCTAGTTCCCTAATTTTCAAAGGTTGGCTTTTAAGAACTCTAGAGATTGCTGGAATCCACACCAAGCAAAAATATTGGGGGTTATGACTCTATAAATAGATGTAGTTGGATGCCATCAAGAATAAAGTTTGCTTTTGCTTGATGGTGTTGATTCCATCATGAGATATTGATGCCTCCTTCCATGGTGTTGCCCCCATGACAGTTTTGGTTGGTGTTGATACCAACACATTTCTAGACCTCCTGATTTGCATACGGTATTGACTACTTATGCAAGTTAAGGTTTTCTTTTTCTCCCGTACTTCTCTATCCCACCACCCTACAAAAACACTTAGAAAGACTCATATCCATCATAACAAATGCTCCTCTAGACCCCAGGAAAACCAGCCCTCAGCAAACCGTACCCATGCACCCTACATCCCTAGTATTTTATATCCCCCAATTCTCCATTTTCATCCTCGTATGTTGTGTGAGTGTTACATTCTAGCAACTTTAACCTCTATTAAGCCCTCTAACTAAAACCCTAAACTTCACCTTAACCCCACCAAACACTCAACCATAGATCTAGCCTAAGTCCTAACTCCTTGGCCTCCTATCATTTCATTCCCACTCAAGATAGAAGACCTCGATACATGCCAAACCATGTTGCCCTAAACATTGTAGAAAACCTAGAGCCTTGTGAAAGCTAAACTAATTGAAACTCCATTTCCTACGCCTAATCCTCTCTCTAAGCCCGCCACGCATGTTGCACTGGTGTAGAAGCCAAATCCCCCTTGGTCCTCCATCACATACTGATATTGTGTAAGCAGAAACAATTGTTTCCAATTGATGGCATGCCTAACCTATCTATAACAGGAAGAGTTTGGGGTAACCTATAACATGAAAATGGTAACAGAGGACCTATAAACAAATAATGCTAGTCAAAAGAATAACCATTTGGATGACATTGCTACCTTTATGCACCTTTTGTATAGTGACACCCAAATGGCATGAACTATTTGTCTCTTCAGAACTTACACTGTCCCAACTTGAGTATATCAAATGTTGGATGTGCAACGACTTTTGAATCTTTAATGAGGTCCTCTCAGGGAACAAGTAATTAGGGCAGCCCGAGCTGTCACATGCTAGTGTGTGTCATTAATTTTTGAAGGTTAGGAGAAGCACACACAACTTGCACAAAGTTTAGACCAAACCACTGCTCTGAGATTTTAAATCTTTAAGCCATGCAGTAGCCTGGGAAGGAGATCATGCTGAATGAGTTCAGTCAAAATGCTTCAATAGCAGTTTGCAGCATCTCTCTCATGTGTTGAAGCATTGTTCCAAGGCTTCACAATTATTTCCCAAGGCTTCACAATTATTTCCCAAGGCTTAACAATTTACTTTCTTCTTTCCCTTCCCCCGTTCCACCCCCCTCCCCCCAAAAGCAGTCCCTAGGTAAGGTACATCATAGTGACTAGAATCATCTAAAAGCATCTACAAAACAGTAGGCATGTAGAGGTGACCATTCCCAAATAGGAATCATGTATACATGTCTAAAAATGATTTACTTTCCAGTGAACCGCCCCTGCAGAAGCTTACAAAAACTAATCTCACATGAAAAAACAAATTTCACAATCTTCCATATAATTGATAGACACTGTAACATTCAAATCATCGTAAGATCTGCTCATTTGGATATAGAGCCGGGGTCAGCCTGCCAAATCAAATCTTGCTAAAGAACCAATGTTGCTGGAATCATCTATGTCGTGGTAAGCTCCAGCAGATTTCGAGCAAAGCGTAAAGACCAAACCATTCCCTAAATTAACTGTTGGTATTCTATATCTCCATTTAGACACCCTATAGTTCATAACCTTACATTAGAGGTCAGTATACCATAAAGGCAGAAACACAACCATTGTTATCAAAAATATGTAAAAATTAAAAGAATATCCAAGAAAAAGAAATACATTGCAATTATGTGCAGAAGTACAAAATTCCATGCATGTTCCAATTATAGTGTACATTATTCAAATGCCACAGCCGTTAAACAATGTGTTCCACAGAGACTTCTTTTCTTGGGAAAATACCAACATTAATAAAAGCATGGAAATGCAGGAGAGCATATCAATGAGACTATATTATGATTGTCAAAAGCAAATTGCTAGTCTTAATTTTCTGGCAAAAAGAACATGTGTCTGCCTTGCACTGAGAACCCAGGAGAAGCTTACTAACCAATACCACATTTAGCAATTCATGGTATGTTGCCACTTTGTTTAAACAAATAATGATCTAAATACAGACCATGGACAAGAACTCCCACATCTTCTTGCATGCTATAGCAGTGCAGTGATATTCTTCCACCACCGCCTCCCCCCCAACCTCTGCCACCTGCTGCGCTGACTGTACCAGTTCCTTTCCTATCATAGAAAGGACATGGATATTAGAATTGCCAGGTATCAATACGACTATCTATTTTTTCCTCATATCTATACCAATATTCAGTATGTCCTGATAAATTACTATAACTGAATAGGAGGAAGGTAAAGAACATATCACATAGAAGAATTCTAGAATAAAGTGGTCCGAACAATAATCAATAGTAACAAAAAGGACAGGGATAAGAAACATCATTACCATTCTATAGTTCCAGCCCAAGAGATCATCAAATTGGTAGCTTATAGGGAGCCTTTAAGACCTATCATGTTATTAATACAATTGTATTGGATGGATTCCCAAACAGGAGATGAAAAGCTTTACTGAGTTAGTTACCAAGTAGGGAACCAAAAAGGTTTATTGAGCTTTGAATAACATGGGTCTAATAAGAGTGAGGACCTTAAACTTTCCCTTCACCTATCCTAAAACCGAGTAAAGGAGATGAGTTGCATTAGGTAGGCAGCCAGCGTAAAACTTTGCCATATCTTATTATAGCCGACCCCAAATAATTGGGATAAAGCTTGAATGATGATGATGATGATAAGCTTCGAGTAACACATTTACAAAGTATAACTTGATTTGTCACATGATGTACGTACAATGGCTCCAACACGAAAGGCCTACCAGTCTCAGGTATCATCTCAAGAAGATACCTTAAAGAAGTTATAGAAACAGATGCCACATCGCATCAATGGATTTGGAAGGCTCAAGGCACAATTGCTTTTGTACATATATGTATATGTATATATGTATATATGTATATATATATATATAT